AAGATAATTCCATAGGTTAAAAGTGAATGAAAATAACAATAGTAAATCATTTTTAATGTTTCGGTAGGCATGATGGGTTTAATAACCCTCATTGAATAACACGCCTTACACAACTTAGGTATGAGTTGGAATATATGGGCCTTCCAAGTACACGTGCTTTCAACAACTATACCCAAGAACTTCACCTCGGTACTGTTTGGGATCACATTATTGCAATAATTAACCATAACTCCGGTATTAGGACAAGACTTAGCCGCAAATTGTACATGTTTAGTTTTGCTGAAGTTTAGGGTTAGCAGGTTTGACTTGAACCACTCATTAAGGCAGTCAAAAGAGATATTCACATCCCTATTATATTGTAAGTTATTATTGCTACTAATCACCAAACTAGTGTCATCTGCGAATAAGACTGGTTTAACTGTGCTATTAAAAATTGTAGAAAGATCATTTATATAGAAAAGAAATAGAAGCGGACCAAGTATGGACCCTTGAGGGACTCCCTGCCTGACAATATCCCAATCTGATCTAATAGTGTTGCTCATTTCAATATCTGTTATTAGTACTCTCTGATGTCGATCTGATAAGTATGATGCAATTAAATCATAAAATCTACCTTGTATCCCATAATATTGTAGTTTACTCAACAATATTTCGTGATTCACACTATCAAACGCCTTCTTCAAGTCACAAAAAACTCCACCTACAACTTTTTGTTTATTTAATGCTTCTAGTATTTCATTGAGTAACACGTAAGAGGCTTTAGCAGTTGAGGATTGACGTCTAAATCCAAATTGCTTATTGACTATTATATTATGATCATGGATATGCTGATTTAATCTAGACAAAACTATCTTCTCAAATATTTTTGAGAAGGAGGTTAAGAGGGAGATGGGCCTATAATTAGATGGATCATTCTCGCAACCGCCCTTGTAACAAGGCTTAATTTCAGCATATTTTAGCCTATCCGGAAATACGCCAGCAGACAGCATTTTATTACTAATATATGTTAAAGGAGATATAATAAAGGGGCTACTAATTTTTAACACTTCAACTGATATTTCATCATAACCATGCGATCTCTTTGTTGTTAAAGATTTAATAATTTTAAATATCTCAGTTGAGGTTGCAGCTTGATATTTTATGCTGGGAAAGGGATGATCAAAAGCTTGCCGCAAGTAATCTAATGGCTTATTGTTTGTTTCAAGACTTTTGTTTATGTTATTCTCAGCCACAGATATGAAAAAACTATTTAAGAAATCTGCTATATATTGCCTATTTTTAGTAATCCGTCCATCAACTTTTAATTCCTGAACTGAATTCACTTTGGCAAACTTCCCAGTTACTGACTTTGTTATATTCCAGATTGTTCTTATTTTGTTACTGGATTTTGATATCTGTCTACTATAATGCTTCTTTTTTGCTTCTCTTATGACATTTTTTAATATCTTGCAATACTGTCTATAATACCTCTTAAAGGCCTCATCGTTACTACTCCTGTATATCAAATTTAGATCTCTTTTATGCTTACAGGAATTACTAATACCAGGAGTAATCCACAAGTTACTATTTGTTCTGGTGCTCAACACTTTCAGGGGAAAACTAGAATAGAATATTCTAAGAAATGAACTGAGAAAAGAATTATACATTAAGTTTATATCGTTGGAGCCAAAAACTGAGTCCCAGGTTTCAAGACTCAGTTTATATTCAAAATCCTGTATCATAGCCAGTTCAATTTTCCTTATCATTTTTTCCCCTTTACCCTGCCATTCTTAGTATGCGTTTTAACCTCTGATAAAATAATTAACTGAGCATCATGGTCGGAAAGCCCATTAAGCAAGGGATCATTGTATCATTGAAGAGTGTATCAGACTCAAAATTACGTTCATCTCAGTCACAAAAATGATCAACCAAATAATTTACAAATTAAAAATCACAACATAATTAATAACGTCAAAATTTCTTGTTATTACATAATAGTATGCATAATATTAAAATAACTATTATTCAGGAATTTATGTAATTCCAGGAGGAAGTGACTCTAGGAGAATGAAATGGGATGGGAATTTAACATGAATAAGAGAAACTGAAAGCTCTTACTTAATTTTGATAGTGAGCTGAAAGTAGACAAATATGTAGCTGAATATTATGGTACAATGTTTATTAGGAACATGGGTTGTAATGGTATTTTTTTATGTATATCAGCAATCAGTAAGATGATGAATCTCTAGTTTTATGAAAGGATGTTTCACTATTAATGAAACATAAATATGTCAGAATTTAAATGATAGTACTTATAGATTTCATGAGATCATAAGATAGTTTCTGAATAAATATTTCACTTATCATTTTCTACAACAGATGCTAGAAAAAATAACATTTTACACATGTGTGATCTAATTTAAATTATTTTTACTGTAGTGGCTCCTTGTCTGACTCACATCTAGAACTGTGACATCAACTGCTTCCTTAGTACTTTCATCTTTTGACTTTGCTGACAATTTCCGTGTCAGACCCTCTGAACTAGTTGCACTGTCATTCTCAAGCTCATTTTTTTCATTATGTCCAGCACCTGCATTACAAAAATAATGATATTAGGAAACAGTCAGCAAACACATAATGGAGGAATTATAACTAAATTTTAAACTAGTAAGCAAAAAAGCTCACCAGAAGCAACAGGCAATTAATGAATAAATCATATGGTTTTAAGGGTTTGTGACAATGTGTTAACATTATTTTTGAAGGTTTTCTTTTTTGTGGAAATTGTTCACTAACCAAATAAAAATATGTACACTGTTTCAGGGACTAGCTGGGCCACATCAATATATTAATGTAACAGATCTCTTATGCAAGAAGTCTGGGCTCCCAGCCAATCCAGATTTCCAGATTTCTGGTCTCAACCTACTATGTACTTAGAATTCAAAATAAATTACATTATTAAACTCAAAGCACGAATTTAATTCAGCACTTCACAACTCACAGCCTGTAATTCCACATCCAAAGGAAGATCTGTTTTGATATATAATTCATAAGCTAAATCTCATATTACTAGCATTTCAGACATTTGACAGAAGCAAAAAGTGGGTAAATAACTGCAGTAACTGTGAACGAAATATACATACAAAACATCGGCCTGAACTGAAGAGGGGTGCACATTATTTGAAGTGACCAGCTGGTTTATGACAGTCATTTCATTGCTTACAGAATACCAGTTCAAAACAGCTGCATCTCTGGCCCACCTTCAGATTTAGAGGTTCAGTACCTGTACCAGTCAAAATGACTACCTTCTTGTAATGGGCATCAGAGTAGTGGTCCTTCCTTTTTATCAGGAGCTGGAGACAGTTGAGTGAAACATCGTATATAATGTGTTTCCGGTACTAAATATCCCAAGAAAATGCTCTTGATGGCAGTGACACTTTTTGCAACGTAGTTACTTGTGCGTATGGGCATATGAGATAGGTTCAGATTTGCATTAAAGTCAGTATTGAATACTGCAAGCAGTTCTAATTCTCTGAGAGCAGATGTTCTCCAACTGCATCTTTCACATCACCAAAGCATCACCATAGATATTTTTGTGAGCAAAGGGAATATGAAGGAAGAAGGTCATAACCATTTTGAATAATCTACTATCCTGGTATTTTTTTTTGTGGACAAGCAATACAAAATCAATCATTGCTGGTTCAAAATAGTAGCAGGTACCTCTTCAATAAAATTCCATGGTTCATTCTCCAAGCTACATTTGATTTGTAAACAGTACTATCATAATATGCTGTTTCATTATGCCATTCTTTCATCATATATATATGATAAATTTGAGATATTTCCTGTGAATTGAGTTTTCTGGCAGATTTCCAAAGTCAACCATTTCCCAAATAAAACTCACCTTCTGTAAGCGTGGGATCAGCATTGACCAAAGAAAAATAGTGACCCTGAAGTGCCATTAATTCAGAGTGTGATCCCTGTTCCATCACCTACAAAATATTTGAATACGGAATAAGCAACATTAGTAATTTATGAAATATTACCTACAGCCAATAATAATCTTAACTCTTGGTGCACTATGACCTCCTCACAGCATATTTGTCACTGTACTTATAGATTTTGTGACTAAATGAAAACCATCCCACTGAGCGAGAAGAAATGTAATACTTGACCAAAGCACCAGCAACCAACTGGCACTTTCTGGCAATGTAGGTACTGCAACATTTATGGAATAATGGTAATAATTTCATTAAGATGGCCCTAGGTTCTATCATGGAACGTCCTTCTAGCAGCATGAGTACTGTCATATGGCTAAGCATCAATACCTTTCCAGGATGTACTTGTTTGGTCTACTTCAAAAGCGCTTTGATAATCTAAACAGTATAAAGCTTATTAAATCATGCTGAATGTTTACTTCCTTGACTGTAACAGTGAATTGATACAATAAGGTTACAATTAATCCTGGTTATACCACACTTCATAAACAGCTAGAGAACTCACCCGTCCACCAGAAATGTACACAATACGATCAGCATTCCTAACAGTGGAGAGACGATGAGTCACTATAAGTGTTGTACGTCCCTTTGAAGCACGATCCAGGGCTGCCTGGACCTTGGCTTCACTGTGCAGATCCAGTGCTGAGGTTGCCTCATCCAGAAGCAAAATATTTGGTCGTCGAACCAGGGCCCTTGCTATTGCAATGCGTTGTTTCTGTCCTCCTGACAACTGGGCACCCCTCTCTCCAACCAACGTATCATAACCCTGTCAGTATCACATTATACACTATTTCATGTTAACATGTTTATACTGTGTTGCATTTCACAGTTTTATTGCACATAACAAGACAATCATTTTGAAAGCATGTAGGCATATGATGGTAAGTAGAATGCATCATTTAATTAAAAAAAACTAATATTTTCCATGATAAATGATACAAACTCCGTCCCAAGTGCAAACAATATATTATATGTCTTTGATCAAAGACATATAATATATTGTTTGCACTTGGGACGGAGTTTGTATCATTTATCGTGTAGAGTGCAACAGGATGCTTAAATATAATATAATATTTTCCAAATTATGTAGATTAATTAATTCAGTATGCGATCTGTGAGCCAACTGTGTAGAAAATGTGAGAGCCTTGACATCTCACAACACTATGGGCCTCCACAGCCTGTTATAGGAATATCGGTCATTTATGACAGACACTTTTACTGGCCAAACCTGCAACGTTTGTGGCAACATAGCCATGTTCCTTTGGTGTTCCAGATGTCCAGATTGATTTTTCTAATTTTATATTTTCAGATGTACCTTTGGTAACTTGGTGATGAAGTCATGAGCATTGGCCTCTCGTGCCGCCTCTTCTATCTCCTGCTGAGTGGCATCTTCTCGCCCATATCGAATGTTTTCCTTGATGGAGGTTGCGAACAGGACAGGCTCCTGACCTACAACACCAATGTGACTCTGCAACCAGCCAACATTGAGCTGTGTAACGTCTAAACCATCTATTAGAACTTTTCCTTTCGATGGATCATATAATCGCTGTACAAGCTGGATTACTGTTGACTTGCCACATCCAGAGCTGCCAACCAGAGCCACCATCTCACCACTCTTCACTGTCAGATTGAGGCCCTGAAGTATCTGCAAGCAATAAAAATAATGTGGAAATAAAGTTTCCTGTGTAATGTTACAATTAACTTGGTTTATAAATCCATAATTAAAACTGGTCTAAAAATTTACTGTTTTGCTTTAACTCAAATAGTTGGTAACCATATTCCCAGAAATCAGTCAGTGGACCCTGTTCAGAGCCCTCACTATCACTCTTTTAATAAATCTATGTCTTCTTCTGCTGCTCTTATCATGGTTTGTGAAATTAGAAGATTATGAATGGCTGTGTCCACAGCCTACCACAACATTTCCCTAATGAGATACTACAATGATTAGAAACAACAGTCAGGATAACAAGCCTCTCAGTCAAGTTCTAAATCGATTTGCTGAACAAATTGTAGAATTATAAAACAACTGGAAACGTTTTTGTGGTAACAGGACGTCCTGTAAATGACCAAAACTTACTTTAACTTCTGGTCTTGATGGATACTGAAAGTGAACGTCTTGTAACTGTATGTCACCTTGGAGCCCCGCTGGCTTGTGTCCAGCTGTACTGAGGCTGTCAATATGTGGTATACGATTCAGCAATGCAAAGACAGCAGCTGCTGAACCCCTTGCAATTGCAAATGCCTCAAGATGGGGAGATGCCAGTCCCATGTTCATTGCTCCAGACAGAACCCCAAACAGAACCTGTTAGTGGACAAAACGTTTAAATAATTAAAATTCTACTATTACTTACTTACTTACTCATGGAGCTCAGACCTTCTGAAGGAGCTGCCAATTCTGCAACTACTCAAGAATTTCCCAACATTTTATGGAACCCGAAGGTTTATTACCGTGTTCACAAGAGCCCTCCACTGGTCCCTATCCTGAGCCAGATCTATCCAATCCATACCATCCCATCCTATCTCTCTAAGATCCATTCTAATACTGTCCACCCACCTACGCCTTGGTCTTCCCTGTGGTCTCTTTCCTTCTGGCTTTCCCACCAATATCCTATAAACATTCCTCGTCTCCCCCATTCGTGCTACATGACCTGCCAACCTCATCCTCCTTGACTTGAAAATTCTACTATTAGTGAGTATGAACTGTTTAAAAATGTAAATATATTTTGCTGATTTATGTTGTGACTTCACAGACAGCATCTCCTTAGTGACTAAGTTTCGAGTCTTGAGACTGAACCAACAAGTATATACCTAATTCCACATTAAAACACATACATGTGTTAAAAAGTAGAGATCTAATACCATATTAAAACAGAGAAGTGTGTTAACTAAGTCTTGAACCTCATCTTACTTTTCTCATAAAACATTATGCCAAAATATGCTGAATATGTGTATATGTTTTGTTCACAGAAATCTTGATGAATGGAATCCTCATGATTATATTTTATTCTTAAATGATGAGCATGAGGTAAAGATAAAATTGTTATTGTGCTTAATTAATTAAGCACCACTCCATTACTACATATTTGGACACTGGAGATATGTCTCTGAGTGTTCTTAACCTCAGTGATAGAGGTAGGTGAGTGGTCAAGCTTTATGCTTTGGCCATTTAACTTCCCACGAAAGAGCCCAGGTATCCATTGGAAAGTAGGCTGAGTGGACTCTAGACCCAGCCTGGATGCTTTCGAGATGCAACCCTGTCAGGAATTAAGCTCCCTGGTCACCCAGCCCATCACGATAAATATATTATAAAGATTATAATTTACTCAAATAGGTATCTAAATAGAGGGGGCACGCAGTAGCATAGTTGGTTGAGGCACTATGCTACAAGCCAGAAGGTCACAGGATCGAATCCCGATGAGGTGGATTTTTTTCAATTTACCTAATCCTTCCAGCCACACTATGGCCCTGGGTCAAGTTAGTCTCTAACAGAAATGAGTACCAGGAATATTCTTGGGGGTAAAAGGAGGCCAGCACGTAAGGCGGACAAACTTGCAGCCAACTATGAGCTGACTGTCTAGAAAATGTGGGAGCCTCAACATCTCACAACCCTATGGGTATCCAAGGCCTGTTACGGGGATACCTTTACTTTTACTTACTTTCGGTATCATTTTAGAAATACCAAACTTCTCTTGATATGTATTGTGACACATAGGCGTTTCTAGGAAACCAACTGGCAAACATCTTGCCGCAGAGATACAATTCTTAAACACAAACCATCGCTAGGTGTGAAACAGACGTGTCCTAGAATACTCAAATGGACACTGTAGACTCTTGGAAACGAGATTGTTGCTGCAGAAATAACATTTTTCATGGATATGTGCTAGACTATATAAGCAGCCATTCAGATAAGAACGAATTCAGATGTTCTTAATTCTTTTGTCATTCGGATTTAATTCGTGAAGCAGGAGTGAGTGATTCTTAAATCAGAATGAAGTCAGTCACAGTAGAAGAAAGACTAGAAGAGAAGACAGTAGTAGTCAAGCTAGATGGAGTGAGTCTTAAGCAGTCGTTGATTGTGAGCTGTTGTAATTGATTGTGATTAAGAGTGACTGTTAGAGAAGGTGTTAATATATTCAAACATCCAGTTCATAACCCATTTTTATTAGTCACGTGACCCCGAACACATGAAAGTAGTGTGACATGTTGCGCAACGGAGGACACCCGCCTCCCCAGCGGTACGTGGCGGTAGCGTAGCACTCGCGTTACTATGGTAATAGACGAGTCCCCGTCCCGCCACTCTCCCCATGGTGATGTGGCGCGCGGTGACGCAACACGGTGGTGCGGCACCACTTCCTACTGTGACGTGGCACGTAACTGGCACACACAGCCCCTATATAAGAGAGCTGTGCTGCCTGCGGAGTTAGTTGTAACGTAGCAGTCGCCGAGTTAAGTAGTAGTCGAACGAGTGTGTTATCAACAGTTCTCCAGTCAGCCGACTACAGTTGGAGTATAGCAGCCGTCGCGGAAAGAAGAACCGGACGTGTGTGTAATTGTGTAATTGGGAGTGTGTGATACAGTGATACATAGCTCCCCTACTGTAAACGTGTAGACTACTGAAGACAGAGTGAACTGATTTGCGCATAGGGTTATAAATCGTGAAACCCCGCAACAGTGTTATAAATAATTGTAGCCGTTATTTGTAGATTGTTAAATAAACCAATTAACGATCTCTACAGCGTATTCAGTAACACAACATGTTACAGTATATACTTGCACTTAAAAATGCATGATTTTATATGTACTTTGATTCCACTTGAAACTGATTTAAATAAATGCTCATGATTCCTTGCCATGCTACAAATGAGACATATCTCACAGAAACACTGGCCTTTTTCATCTGCATTTATTTTTTGTAATACAGAACTTTTATATTACCATAGAAATATCCCAAAAGGAGAAAGTTATTTAAATAATGATTGAGGATGGGAAGGATTACTCAAAATAAATTTCCAAACAGTCAATAAATTAAAGCTGGTACTTACAATAACAAGAATACCTGGTGTGTATTCAAAGTCTCCATTCTCTCTTGATTCCAAGATAAGTGTTACACCATACCAGAATGCAATAGCATAACTGCAATAGATGATAAACCACATGATGCCAGTTCCCAAACCAGAGAACATGCCTCGTTTGATGCCCGTGGCCCTGGCTTTGCTAAGTTTCTCTGTATATCTGTAAAAATAACAATCAGATGCATGTCCAGATTTGAGCAGGCAAATTCTGTGTACTTCATAGCTATTGGGATTGCTAAATTTCAATCAAATAACAGGCACGAGGTAGCTCTCAGAGGGGACTGAGTCAAGCGCAGTCAAGTGCAGTATTGTGCTACTGTTGAGAACTCTATGGCATGTAGGAAAGGAAGAGTTATAAAATAAGAATATGGATGGTGGATGTGGAGGGAACAGGTAATAAGCTTATCAAAATAAACAAGCACTGTGATTACAGACATAAAAAAGTGAACAGATAATGAATACCATATATAGACTAGTTATCAAGAATAAAATTTCCAAACTGCATTGCAACCAGAGAGGAGAATTGAATTCTAGAACTTTCTAGGCTGTTTATGGAAACAGCTAATGTAATACACTCCAGTGCATCATATTCTGTCATTACCATGCGTTCGTCAAACACACACATCAGAATGTTCATAATATCAGTTTGAGAAGAGCACAAGAATTCTAACCTGGCAACTTCCTTGTCCTCACCACCAAATGCTACTACTGTTCGCACAGAACTCAGCACCTCCTCAACAACCGCACCTGCATCACCATATGACTCAAGTTCCTGTGCTGTGAGTGAACTCTGCAGCTAAACAAAGCATAGTGTATTATGTCATTTTCTTGATATAACACCATACTTTTGTTTCTTTTTCTGGTTCAATTTGAAACATTCAGTATTTGAGACAAGAGATAACTGAGTAATTTGGAAAGAAACGTTTATAACCTATTCGAGGTACCATATTAGAACTGCTTTGGAAAGACAAAGACAAACTATGGAACATCTCACACAGGTTATCCAGTGTCCCAGCTGAGATTCGAACTGAACAATACCCAAACACAAATCTGGATGGTTATCACTACACCAGCCTGCTCATTTATCACTGTCAAAAATTAAAAGTACTGTGACATGACTACTGAAAGCTTGAATAGTGGAAATAGGAGAGACGACCATTGCTAGACAAAGGCGGGGTGAACCTGAGGCTATATGGCGAGAACCAAAGGTAAAAGTCAGTCAGAGGTCGGGGTCAGTGGTCAGCGGTCAGCCATGAGTTGCAAGTGAGCAACAGCAGTTCATGGTTGGCCGAGAGGAATTCCCATTGTTACCTAGGAACGACTAGTGATAACAAAATAACAAACAGAAGACTGTGTGTGTGCTGTAGTTGTAGTGATCTATAGTTTGTACATTAGTGACACTGTTAAAACCATTTGTAGTTACAAGGTATAAGTATCAAATAAAATCCAGTTATCAGTCCAATCCCCATGTCTGGTCACTGACACATGACAATATTATCAATGTCACAGATGATTGTTTGTTGATGTATGTTTTCCACAGCTTGCATTTTAATATCTGAAGGGAAGAGACCACTTGTGAGATCTATGAGTTGATGGGAGGATAATATTAGGATTATCTTGAAGAAATGAGAATGTGAACTGGATTCATTTGGTTAAAGATAGAATCCAGTGATGGGCTATTCTGAAAGTGGTAATGAATTTTCAAGTTCCATAAAAGTTACAAAGACAATTGTCAAACACATGAGCTAAATGCCATCTATATTTTATAGTAGAATTAAATGTGTTTCTAAGTACCTTTGCTACTATTGATTGTGCCACAATGATTACTGGAGCACAGCTCAATACAACAAGTGTGAGTTTCCAGCCATTCAGGAAAGACATTATAATTGCAGCAACAAATGAAGTGATGAGGTATATAAATATGCTCATCTTCTCACCAATGCCATCTTGCATCTTGTCCAGATCCCTGTCAAATGAAAACATTAATTCATAAATCAAATGTTATATAAATTTTGTCATTACCTGCAAACTGCTTTCCACATTTTCAGACTTTTTTACACATAACAAAAAAGGAACAGCTTCTTTCATGGAGTTCTTATCTGATCATCTAATGATCAGCAATGCTTGGCCAAACAAAGTTTTTTATGGAACTTCATGTTGCAGAAACATAACTGGGTATTTGCTGGCCATTTTGGCATATTAGGATTGCCTCTTCAGTCAGACGTTTAATCAGTCTTTTCTGTTTTCTCACTAAAAAAAACTCTCATACAAAGTTGCAGAATTTAGTTAAGATACACAGTTTATCATGTTATTTTTTAATGATGTGCCATTTTTGAGAAACTTGAGGAATATACCTTCTTATACAATGGGGTACCCAAAAGAAACCGAACTAATTTTCTTGTGGGCAGAGCTTTTGTAGTACCGCGTTTTGCCACTATGAGCGTATAGAGCTAACATTCCTGAGTCGATAAACCGACTACCGTTGCTTCAGAAGGTAAGGACTAGTTTTGGCAGAGTTTATAATGACAACTGTTTTGTGTGATCGTCGTTTTTGCAATGGCCCGAACACATGAAAATGTTGAAAAAAATCGTGAAATCAAGGAAGATCGATGACGGACCACTGAAGAAATTGTGGAGATGTCGGGAGTGACTTGGAGCTCAGTTCAGCGAATTTTGACAGAAGATTTGGGAATGAAAAGGGTGGCTGCGAAATTCGTGCCACGACTGCTGACTGCTGAACAAAAACAAGGTCGTGTGGAAGCATGCCGTGCTTTGAAAGAAGAGTCCCAAAATGATCAAAACTTTTTTTCAGCGTTTTGCTGATGTTGCTGAGGTGAAGGAAAAAAACGACGGAGGTGCTGTCAAGCATCTCAAAAGATGAATTTAGACAATGTTTTGAAAAATGGAATAAAAGACTAGACAAGTGTATTAGTGTAAGTGGAGAGTATTTTGAAGGGGATTGAAGGTTTGTGCTTTAAATTTGAATAAATAAGTTTAAAAAAAAATAAGTTCGGTTTCTTTTGGGTACCCCTTCGTATAGCAGATTGGGTGATGTCTTACTTTAAGTCACAACAGCAAATGAATGACGAAGATAATTGCAGAACAATGTTCAGGAGATTTCTGTGCATATTATTTGGTAATTTACGCTTGTAAAAATTATAATTAAACAAAGATCATGATGAATAAATGAACAAACTAATCTTTGCTGCCAATCAGCTTGTTTTTTCTAAAAAATTATAATAAAATTTGACTTTATGGAGTATGGAGGCTACAAATTCACATATTTTTGTTTTATTTACACTTCATAATTAAAGCATTACTGAAACTGAACACAAGTGTTGCTAGTGCTTAGGTGATACCAGAACATGTAAGGTGAACAATATGTCAAAAAATACATACTCTGTAAGTCTGCTGGCAAAAGTGGCTGTCCTGGTAGTGTCATACCAAGTCATATCTTGGCGTAGCACAGCCTGTAGGAATAACTGCCTTACTCTGCCAATCTGAAATTATTACAAGTACTGTACCAGTATAGTCAAGAAAACTTTTTCCTGGTTCCTCCACCTGTAAATCTGTCATCATATTGATTTCACACAGAATGCAATTGGAATGTATTTATACTGCAGGTATTATAAATTTGTCCACAGAAACATTCCAGGGCATAATGATAATTCTTATTACCTGCTTCTGTGCTGCAAAATTCAATACTGCAATACTTGATGATGAAATAACAAGCTGCACTATCCCAACTACAGTACAGCCAATTCCAAATGCTTCTGCATCCTCCATCATGGCTTCATTTCTTTCATCATAACTACCATTAATCCTGGAACACAAATAAGCTGCTTTGTCATTCATTAAGAACAAACGATTCCTATGTCATCACATTCAGTACATTGTCAATCTTAAAAAATTTCAGTGAAGATGGTTCTGTAGTACTTGGTAAGCCAGTAAATGTTTAAAATCACTTAGAATATGGACAAAAAGCAGTGGTAAAAAGATTGCAGTATTTCACAAAGTAAAGGGAATATTAACCTTTCATCAATTTCGAAATGTCACTAGTACTACAGATCATCCAAGACTACTACTGCTTTATGTTAGAATGTTATTTATTATAAACCTATATTCTTACAATTCATAGCTAAAAAGTTACAATTAATAACTGCAATTAACATAAACTTTAACACGGTGACATGCCACCAAAGCATTAATACTTCCACTGGCTCATTTCAGAGTCTGTTATAACATTCCAGAAGTTTCGATATAAAGCCAGTTCCACATGGGAACATGTAAATAATAAACAGTGACTAAATGGTTAGTTGATATGATGTCCTAGACGCTAGCCAATGGGGTGGAGCCTGCAGTTTCAACAGAAAAAAAATAAAAAAAAAGGGTAAAATTTTGACTTCAAAGGTGGGTGAGTAAAATCTGAGGTATTTATCTTCTATTTTCTTTGTTGCAAACTTTATGGTCAAGGTTAATANTCTGCAGATCTGTATGTCACAAAAATGCCATGAATGGTGTATCCTGGGTACATTTAAAGTAAAGACACCATGAAAGCTTGAAACAAAAATTAATCCTATATCTGTAGCTTACAACTGTCTTCCTCCTCCAAATAGGTTGAGTATGACTGTTGGTGTTGAAGTAATATTGTCCGCTGAGCGGTCCACCAGCAGTGTGGTAAATTCACCATAGAGCATGATGATGAGAGGTATACCAGCTCCTGAGAGAAGGCTCAACAGTAAGCCAAGGAAGACGAGGCCCCGCTCAAAATATGTGGCATACCGGAACTACAAAATTACACAAAGGACTAATTCTAGTAACACAGTAACTTCTTTTGATTCTGCTAACTGTATTTAATATTTCTCATTCAGAAGGAATATAAATGTTCACATTATGCCATGGATAAAATATCTCAGGTACTTGCATAACAAAACAACTGAAAATATGAGATAGCAAATATAAACGTCTCTAAATTAAAAATTTCTCATTCTGAATACAGCCAGGTTAAGTGACAGAAGTGAACACTGAACCAAGATATGGAGTTATGGTAAAATAACATCGTTATTTGTTAAGAGCTCAATACACACTGATACAACTGGAGCACGTTTCATGAGATTTGTATCTGTATCATTGGAGCAATCACACACTGGTACAAAGCCTTACAGTTAGCGAAGACATTATTAGCTAGTATATTCTACTGCAATTGTGCAGTTAAAGTGGAAGTGTCCAGTCTTAGAAGCATATGTGAAATTATACCTTCAGATGTATAAGTCTGTGCTGGTATCACTAGAAATCACTCAGGCAGTGTGTTTAATAAAGATGTGGCAACAGAAATGAACATGGTCAAGGAAGTGACTAGCTAAGTGAAAGAAGTATACAGTCACAAATTTATTAGAAGAACGTGAAACCAGTGACATGGTTGATATACAAAATGGGTAATTAATTCTTCCATATGGTGAAAACAGAAGAAGAAATATGGGATACAGATACATGCACCACAAGCTTCTGACACTAAGAAACATTTCTCTTGAGACATCCCCAATTATATTGCACCATGCATCATGATATATGTATCACCACTTGTGTTCATATAGGTGAGGCTCATCAGGCCTGGCTGAGACAGAGTGTCCAGTATGTAAAGTAGGTGGAGTGACGACTGGCAAAGGAGAATAAATGGTCACAGTGTCACTTTTCTCTTACAGATCCCATGAAGACTTGTTTTGTTTTGTATTTATATGACATAATCCACATCCTACAGTCATTTTGACTAACTATGGATCCATGGAATGCAATGCAATGTAATGTAATGTAAAAAAAAAGTAACTTTACTGGGATTACACGGAGGCCTCCAATGATATGAAGCTCATATGTAATGACCTATACAATGGCACGACTTAAAATAATATCAACAAATTTCAACATTTTAATTACCGCATGCACACATGGCTCCTAGGAATTTCACCACGTACTTTGAATTGTACAAGATTTCTTAAGATTTCATGAATATTATGTTGTCATACAGGGTATCCAAATTTGAAACTACCTCATATCATAACCTGCTTACCAGCTTGTAGAATGCTACAGGTTCATGTTTCGGAAACTCTTTCCCCTCCTTTTTGTCTCCATCTTTTGATGCTACATACTTGTACTCTCTGAAAATGAATTCAAAATAGATTTACTACTAGATCACAACACATGTGATTTCACAAAGAACTACTGTATTCTATTACTGATCCTTGTTATTGAAATTAATCTTTTCACTGTTGGCTGAGCAGCTATTGTTTTATCAAGGACTCTACTCCATAAAGTGAGTTAAGTGACCTTTTCACTGTTATGATGGAAATATTTGATAACATGGAAAAACATACTGTTTGCTATAAGTGAAATGTTCTGCCTAGTACAGAGTGCCTTGACAGTAGACTGCTTACAGATATTCCATAATAAAACAGAAATATAACACTAATATTTCAGGATCATATATGCATGTGCACTGAACATACCAATGTCTACAATCAGTGTTTCCAAAATAATGGTCTACATACTACAACCAGTTTGCAAGTTCTCTCTTTCTTTCCTGTTGCTTCCACTCTGAGGCATTGCACATCCATCAAACGCTTTGTTTCACTTCATTTTCTTAATCATAAGACAGTCAGTAGGACTCCTTGGACGGGGGAACAACCCGTCGCAAGGTAGCTACCTACACAGGACAACACAAACACAGAATAAACACAGACATCCATTCCTTGAGTGGGATTCAAACCCATGATCCAAGTGTTTCATTAAGTGAAGACAGTTCATGTCTTAGACTGCATGGCCACTGTGATTGGCAAATTCTGTCTATTATAAAAATTACCACCTGACAAGTAGCGACTTTTTTGCTTTCCATGTCCTTTCTGTCAATGTCCTCAATAACATGTATTAAACAGTACTGCCTCTTTTAGTCATTTCCCTCCAGCTACACTTTTTGGTGTGAATCTTCAAGTAGTGATGAAGAGGGTCAATGCTGGATTAAAAAATGGGACGATGGGGCCATTTATGAAATCAGACTGTTAGACGATATCTGTGCTTGACAAAATATTTGGCATTTACACATGAGATCTGAAGTTCTGAAGGTGGTGACTATAAAGCTGTCTTCTAGGATGCGTCAGCTTGCCACCTGCTTTTGTGGCTTCTTGCTCCTCTTATTCTTTGACCATGAAGATGAGGAGCGATTTGTTCCTCTGAAACGTTGGTTGACTTTCAACGGACTACACTGCATTATATCCAAGAACAGAGTACTGTTCATAACCACCACTGAAAATCTCATATCCTACACATAGCATCACATCCCAATAAACAAATCTTACAGTATACACATTCAAATTCTGTGGAAACATTACCTCAGGTGTCAGTTAAATGTTGGGAAACATGGAGCCATGGAGGTGCAGTCAGCTCCATGCCCCGCCAGCTACCCCCCCCCCCC